AGCTCTGTGACTCTGTGACTTTATCCCTGTGAGAGGGTTTTTGGAGAGGGCAGAGGTCCTGAATCCTACGTGAATAAGGTGGTTGGCTTGCAGAGTTCCTGTGGGATCCACTGTTTCACACTTCATTTCTTGAATTTGGTCTCCAAACTTAGCACAATAACCTTATAGGTCAATCTTGAACTCTTCAGCAATCGGACTTTCCATGCAATCTTTAAATAATAATAATACCAGTAAAATAGTCACTAGCTTTTGCAGGGGAAACATTTTTAAAAGGCGATGGTCCTTTTTCAAATGTTGCCTGTATGGAAAGCAATGGCAGATGGGGTGAACTGATTGTGCAATTGTTAAGTATGTAGCAAAATTAATAAAAGATTGGGCATTAACTGGACGAGCCCCCAGATAATAGCTGACTGTGTTATTTCCCATTATATCAGCACTTGAGTGGATTAAAAATCATCGTTATTAGAAATTATGGAATTACCCACCACTTATGGCAAATGTTGGAGTTCAGATTCTGGATGAGGCTGAAAGGTAACTTCAATTCATTAGTCTTTGCTGGGTTTTTATCAGCTATGATATGGCTCTTGTTCTCCTGTGCGAGGCAGGAGGGCACCGTTACAATGTGAACCCTTCAGGGTGGGAGGAACCCGGGAGCTTTTGCTGAGCCGCCTAGATCCATCATTGACACAGGACGTAATGATAAACCCTGTTGGGTGAGAATGTGTATGTGATCCTAGCTATGTGGTGCGCGGTGTTCAGTCGAGTGGCAGGATCATTTGAATTCCAGGAACTAGGGGGAATGAAGGACTGAGGCAAAAGTCATCTGGAAAAGTCACCTAGGGCCTGATGCTGATCTCATGGTCACTGGTATAAATTAGGACTAACTGCATTGAAGTCAATGGAGATTCCCACAGGTCAAAACCAGCACAAGATCAGCCTCTGGCTCCTAGAATGGTGTAACATCCTGCCTCATGCTTACAGGATTCATAAGACATTTTAAAACCTGCCCTTCAAAATGTGACCTGATCTTTTCCTTCAGAATCCATGTTTATGTAATGTGTCACTTCCTTAAATAGTAACTTATGGCCACAGCTAAATGGTGCACAGTTGTTAATTTGATTCAGTAACTCTAGGTGACATCATGTGACCCTGATCAAATTTCTCTATGGTTTAAAAAAAAAACAAGCTCTTTAAGTATGGCCACTAACCTCTGAGGGAGATGGGTTGAAACATAAAAAGCTCATGTGCTTCCTTGTCATTAATACGGCAGATAACATTAAAAAATATTAATTCTGTTCTGCTCAAATAGTTTATCCAGGTGCCAATCAACATGGTACCTAAGTGGCATAACAGGAAATTAAAGGACACAGGAAAATTCCATGTAAGTGATTTCACAAAAGGGGACTTGACACTTTTAACAGGCTGCTGGTGGAGCCCACCGTGGTGTGTGTGTGTGTGTGTGTGTGTGTGTGATGCCAGTTCTCTTGCCTCTTGTCAATTGGGAAAGGCCAAACCAAAGAAATAATTTTCCTTTTGTCCTGGACGCTATTAGAGTTGACTGAGTGCAGTCTGATTTCCGTGGTACCCATAAGGCATTATGGGTCTACTAGTCTTCTGCTAACACATTCCATAGCCCACGGCACTCTGATGAGAAGAACTTTTTTAAAGTTCTTTGCAACTTCACCCTGGATCTTGATAGATTCAGTGTTGCCGAGGACCACGGCTCCCTTCCTGGGTCAAGTATAGGGAGGTGGTCTGTGAGATAACTCAGTTTTAGGTGAGACTCTCGGCTGTGTCTCTAAGATGTGGAAATATTTGAACTACCTTGTCCTTAGTCCCCGAAGACTCTTTGATTTAGGATATTGATACCTCTCATACTGTGATATTGTTTTCACTTCTTTTACTCGGTGCAATTGTAGCTGTTTGTTAAGGGTTCTTTCTGAAATGTCTCAGGGATTGTCTACATGGAGACATTGACTGGCATTGCTAGAGTGGAATAATCATTTCACTGTAGCTATGTTGGTATAAATCCATTATGTGGACACTCTATTCCACAGTGTCCACATGGGGGAGTTATAGCTATAGTGAAATAATTATTCCGCTCTAGCTAGGTTGCTCAAATTATTCAGGAATAGCTAGTCCTGATCAACGCCATGTGCGGGCGCTCTTAGTCTGGAATACGAGTGCCTTTTTCCAAATTCATTTACTCCTCTCCTGAAACGGATTACATTATTTTGGAATAAGGCACTCTTTTACTACCATAAAAGCATCCAGACATGGAGTGAGTTAATTTGCTTTAAATTCACACCCTTGCAGATTAGCTTTCATGTATAGACAAGCCCTAAGACTGTCAATAATAATTCCTTGCATACCTCTTCGACAATTCTCTCTTGTGTGTTGTTTTAGGTTAATGTCGTCTCTGTGAGTTTGCTCACCAATACATTGAATTCTTTGGGGAAGATGATGCATGTTGTGCCAGTCTAGTGTACGCAGGCCAGGTCACACCTTTGGCTGGCCTAAGCCTTCACTGAGCCACCCATACCGCTAACCGTGCCAACGCCTAAATGTGATATGCAATGTGTGATACAGACAGCAGACACACAAGATAGTCTTCTACTCATCCTTGATGTGGTGATTGGCATCTATTTATAATCTTCAGTGACCAGCTCAGCAGGCCTGATGCTCTGCCCTGCGGGCAGAAAATTGGCTGAGCTGGCGGATGGTGTATGCCCCTAACATAGGAGAATCTTTGGGTAGCATAAAGCCACCATAGTAGCTTCCACCTGGCCCTGCAGTTCCCAGCATAGGGGACCTGGACTCGGAGCTTCTTTATGCCTGGCTGATCCCCAGCTGCCAGAATGCCTCCTTCCTTGGCCCATTCCTCCTCATCTTCTCTCTTGGTGGTCTCATGTGCTCTCATGGTTTCAACTACCATCTTGACTGACTCGGAGATTCATCCTTCTGCTCCTGGCCCAGATCCCTCCCCGCAGTTCCATATCTCACTCTGCCTCTCTGGGACATTTCCCCCTTAACACAAACCCAACATGGCCAAGAGTGGGCACCTGTGCTTTCTTCCAAAACCCTCCCCCTCTGTCTTCTGTCACAGTGGTATCAACACCATTCTCCCCATCACCTCAGGGACTCCTCCCGAGGGATCAAGTATCGGGGGGTAGCCGTGTTAGTCTGTATCTACAAAAACAACAAGGAGTCTGGTGGCACCTTAAAGACTAACAGATTTATTTGGGCATAAGCTTTCGTGAGTAAAAACCTCATCCGAAGAAGTGAGGTTTTTATTCACGAAAGCTTATGCCCAGATAAATCTGTTCGTCTTTAAGGTGCCACCAGACTCCTTGTTGTTTTTGAAAATTTAATCCAAAGTCTCAAGTGTTGGTTGCTAATTACCATCAGCAGTTCGGTGCTTATTGCAAGAGCAATAAGTGACATCTGTTAACCTAATTGTTAGAGATCTACTGTGTCTGCAGTGGCTGTTGACCCATACTGTAGGTGCCCATCACATTTCAATAAAGTTCTTAGTATAGTCTTGCCATTTTTGATATGGGATTGTGTATGACAATCAAGAGACACAATAGCCATAAGGGATCTGGAGCATTTCTCTTGTGCTCAAAAAACATGTATTTGGTTCTTTTATCAGTCTCCACTAACACCTGACCATATTCTCTTTCTCTCTCTCTCTCTCCATTGCCATTCCATTTCATTTTATATTTGGTAAAATAACTATGATCTGTATTAAAATGTGTAGTTATCTGGTGACCCAGTGAAAAACCTTTTTTCCCAACTGAGCTGATCTGGGCCTGCTACACACCAAAGGAAAACTCATGAATTATAGAGGACTGTAAATGGCTCTGGTTTTACAAATAAATTATCGCATCACGAACTGGTATGTCCAACAGGGTGCCTAGATATTGTGGAGACAGGTGAGTGAGATGTGGATTTCTCTGGGAAAGTAGTCTGATTCTTTGTGCAATTTGCCTGAGTATGTATTTCCTTATAATAAAGTCGTAGATAGAATCAAATAAATCCGTTTATATACTGTCATAATAAAGCCATAGATAGAATCAAATAAATCCATTTATATGCTGTCATTCCATTTACTTTTTTTTTTTTGCCAGAAACTAGAAGACTGATTTTCTTGTAAGCTGTAAATTAGCACTGCAGAGGTGAACAATTCCACATAAATACTCTGATCTGGACACTGAAATAGAAAAATACAACTCTACTTCCGGAATCACAACTCATACTAGTTTCAGGCCAGTCAGTCATGGGTAACACTGATTTAGGACATTGTTGTATGGCAGCAGGTTACTATTGTAAGCTGTTTCTTCTTTCATCATGTAGTATATTATAAAACCAAAAAGCACAACTTTAAAAATCTCTGATTATTTAATCATGAAGACAGGCAACTAGTAAAACAGAATATTCTTGTGAAAGCATGTTGGGAGACTATGCAATATAATCAGTTTGTATCACATTCAGAACCAGACTTGAGAAAAGTGTGAACAGTCTATTCTATTCAGACTTGACTCACAACCTGAGAATAGCTGGCTGATTCTTCCTCAATTATCACAGTGAAATAGTTAACTATACTGTAAACATCAGAATTTAGAGTTAAATTCCCATTCTCTTAACTGACTTCACACCTCTTTTAAGGATATTGTTTTTATCTGTCTGTAGTCTGTATGACACACTGCATCAATTCAGATTTGGAAGATTTTCTTTACATAAAAGAAGGCTTGAAAATTAAATGAAATCTTTAAATTCTGCAGAAACTGGTGGGGCCACCACAGCAGTGCTAGTTCAGTGTGCTGCTCTGAATTGGCTCAATCCATATTATGTTTAGGATTTTAAAAGTGTGAAGTATATATGCCTATAATCTAAATAAAAACAAGCTGAAGGCTTGAATAACAAGATATGCATTCATGGTCTGTACATATGTATTTTTTCCAGAGCCAAGGATGTTTGCATTGCTTTACGTTACAAGTTTTGCCATCTATACAAGTGGACAATCTCTTCACAACCAGCTCAAAGGAGAAAATTACTACGCGAGATATATTTGTAGCATTCCTGGCTTGCCGGGCCCTGCAGGTCCCCCCGGAGCTAATGGATCACCAGGGCCTCATGGGCGTATTGGTCTTCCAGGAAGAGATGGTAGAGATGGCAGGAAAGGAGAAAGGGGTGAAAAAGGGAATGCAGGTATTGAATATTTGTGCTAACTAATGGAAAAAAAACAAAAAAAAGAAACCAACAACCCAGGACATTCTCCTGGAACTTACTGTATTTTTTTTTTAAGTTTTATTTATCAGTGACTTCCTGAGCATAAAATACTAGCAAATATAAATGTAAGATACTGTTGTTATGTATGTAACAAAAAATGACAAATTATATCAGATTTAAACCCATAAAACAAGAACATTGAATCTCCAGGGGGAAACTTCATTATTATTATTTTTTTCTCACAGATAAAAACTACCAGTAACTTAAAGTTAAAACATTACAGGGATGTTGTAATTATCCAAAAAACAAATATTACAAACACAGGACTCAGACTTGAGGTGAAATTTAAAAGAAATCCAAACAAGTTCAGAAAATAAATACAGTTAGTGTACCCAAGCAACATTAGCTTCATTCTGAAATGATACCATTTAATAACCATGCAATTAAGATTAGAATATCATAATTTTGTAGTTCTGGATTAGATTAAACTGACTTTTAAAGACACATTAGCTTTTCTATTGTTTTTCCTCATGGTGTCAAGGTTGTTTAGGTGCCTTAACTAAGCATTTCCAGATCTTAACATATTTAATTTTTTGGGGTCTACTCACCTCTATAAAGTTGCTCATGTGGATGACTGTTAGAAAGATCCTGGCCTAAATGAACACACAACACAATAAGCAATAGTGGCAAACAATGGGTGGGAGATAAGAGGAAAGGACAATGTGTGTGTAAAAATAAGGTTTCATAGTTACAAATAGTAAGTTATGTGTAATTCATGTTCCTCAAAATGCATATACCCTTTTAAAAACTTCCCTACCCTGTGTGTTTCTAAAACATCCCTACTCAGCCAAAGGATATGGTCAACATTAATGTACACCTTTCTTGCTCATTACTGTGTCGCTCCCCACCTGGTCCCACCATTGCCCGTTTGCTTGTTGCTTTTCAATATTTTTATAAATTTTGATATAAAATCTCACCACATTTGCATTGGTATTGCTTCTTATTTGTTACATAAGGTCATCCTTTATTTTGGAGACATCCCTCATAAGATTTTGATTTTTAAAAAATGGAACAATATAAAATTAACAAGGCATACATTTAAATAGATTAAAAATTCATCAGCGGGCAGGTGTGTTTCTAATGGGGTCCTGCAAGGATTGGTTCTTGGCCTTATGTTATTTTTATCAATGATCTGGACGAAAACAAAATCATCACTGATAACGTCTGCAGTGACACAAGTTGGGGGAGTGGTAAACAAGAAAGAGGACAGGTCACTGATACAGAGTGATCTAGATCATTTAGTAAGCTGGGTGCAAGAAAACTATATTTTTAATATGGCTAAATGTAAAACCAGTAACAAAGAATGTAGACCATACTTACAGGATGGAGAACTCTATCCTGGGAAGCAGTGACTCTGAAAAAGATTTGAGGGGTCATGGTGGAAAATCAGTTGAACATGAGCTCTCAGTGAGGTGCTGTGACCAAAAGGGCTAAAGTGATATTGGGATGCGTAAATAGGAGACTCTCGAGTAGGAGTAGAGAGGTTATTTTTACCTCTATATTTAGCCCTGGTGTAAGTGCTTTTAGAATACTGTGTCCAGTTCTGGTGCCCACAATGCAAGAAAGATGCTAATAAATTCTGGTGCAGAGAAGAGTCAGCAGAAGGATTAAAGGGTTAAAAAACATACCTTATAGAGATAAGCTAAATAGATCTTGTGCTATCAATCTAACAGAAGGTTAAGGGAGTGACGTGGTTCGGTCACAGAGACCCCCTTGGAACTGTCACCTGATGTGCTGAGATTATCTCTGAACCTGTTTTCCCTGCCAGCTTGGGACTCCAGAACCCTGTCTTGTTGAGCCAGACACACTAAAGGTCTGTCGCATCTTACGCGCATAACATGCGTGATTTCAGCTTTATGCGGTCGGCAAAAACAAAACAAAAGAGAAAAATAACAATTTTAATATTGTACCTGTAGTGCGGGCGATTCCGCCCGCCATTACACTCAATGTAATTTTGACTACACGCGATTTTCGCTTTACGCGCTGACTGCGGAACTTAACCCCACCGTAAGATGCGACAGACCTGTACTCGGCTGCAACACAGAGCCAGGGTCTGAACCACGTTCCCAAAGCTGCAGGCTTTAACTGAAAAACACTCAGCAGGTACTCCTGTCTCCAGCACCCAGCTCCCAATGGGATCCAAACCCCAATTAATCCATTTTACTCTGTGTAGAGCTTATATAGAATAAATTCATAAATTGTCCACCCTCTATAACAGAGAGAGAGAGAGATGCACAGCTGTTTGCTCCCCCAGGTATTAATCACTTACTCTGGGTTCAATAATAAGAATAAAAAGTAGGATTTAAGTGGTTTCAAGTAATAACAGACAGAACAAAGTAAGTCACCAAGTCAAATAAAACAAAACACGCAAGTCTAAGCCTAATACATTTAGAAACTGAATACAGGTAAATCTCACCCTTAGAGATGTTCCAATAAGCTTAATTCACAGACTAGACTTCTTTCTAGTCTGGGCCCGATCCTTTCCCCTGGTACAGTTCTTGTTAGTTCCAGCAGGCATCTTACGTGAAAAGCAGGGGATTTCACATGACTGGGACCCCCTTTGTTCTGTTCCATCCCCTTTTATATCTTTGGCGCAAGGCGGGAATCCTTTGTGTCTCTCTCTGGGTTTCCACACTTCCTTGTAAATAGAAAAGCACCAGGTGATGGATTCCAGTATCATGTGACATGTTCACATGTCCTGTGAGACTTCATTACTCATTGACTGGCACCCACGTGTCACATGTACAGGAAGGCTTACATGTAAACAGAGTCATTTACAACCAGTTGTCCTCGTTAATGGGAGGCATCAAGATTTCAAGCCACCATTAATGGCCCACACTTTGTATAGTTACACTAGGACTTCAGAGTAATACTTTATATTTCTAGCTTCAGATACAAGAATGATACATTCATACAAATAGGATGAACACACTCAGTAGATTATAAGCTTTGTAAGATACCTTACAAGAGACCTTTCGCATAAAGCATATTCCAGTTACATTATATTCACATTTATAAACATATTTCCGTAACATATGGAGTGCAACATCACAAAGGGCTGACTTGATTACAGTCTCTAAGTATCTACATGGGAAACAAATATTTGATAATGAGCTCTTCAATCCAGCAGAGAAAGGTATAACATGATCCAATGGCTGGAAGTTAAAGCTAGATAAATTCAGACTGGAAATAAGGCATACAATTTTAACAATTAGAGTAATTAATCATTGGAACAATTTACCAAGGGTTGTGGTGGATTCTCCCTCACTGACAATTTTAAAATTAAAATTGGATGTTTTTCTAAATGATCTGCTCTAGGAATTGTTTTTGGGAAGTTTTTATGGCCTGTGCTATACAAGCGGTCAGAATAGATGATAGCAGTGGTCCCTCCTGGCCTTGGAATAAATGCATCTTTGAAAACATAGGTAACTATTACAGTATAATACGTATACTATAATATAGACATAAGAAAATACAGTTTAATAGATAGAGTTCAGTTGAGAAAACTATTTAATACTTGGTTTTCACATGTCTATGCCATACAGCAGCGGTCCCCAAACTTTTGAGGGTCTTGCCCCCCATTACTTCTGTCTGCGCCACCTCGTATCCATCCTGGAGCCAGGAGTGGAGCCACGGCTCAGGGTGTGTGTGTGTGTTTGTATGTGCAGTGTGGGGTAAGGGGGCCAAGGCTGAGGCCACAAATGGGGGTCGGTCTGGGGCCAGGAAGTGGGGCCGCAGCCAGGGAGCTGAGTCTGGAGGTGGGGGCTTGAGTGGAGTTACAACCAGTCTGTGGTGGGTGCCGGCAGCCGGGCCCATGGCCAGATATAGCTCAGCTCCTGGCCTGGCCCCCAACAGAGCTGTGGCCAGCAGCCGAGGCTGGGGGCTGGCATGGGGCTGGGAGCGGAGCCAAGTGAGGACTGGGCTGGGCACCGGGCCAGGAGCCATCAATGTGTCTGGGGGTGGTACCAGAGCAGAGCTGGGGGCAGGGAGGGGCTGGGTGATGCTCCCCCCTTCCTTCGCACCCCCCCCCTCTGTGGGGGCTGGCCCGGGCCCCGCCATGCCATCTTGGATGTTCCTCCACTCCCCCCCAGGGGGTGCTCCAAGACCTCTACCATACAGTAACTGGAAATTTTAAAGAACTTCCAGTCTAAAAAATATAAGCTATTTCCTGTCAATAGTGACATAACTTACTAATAGAATTTTAAAGCCCTTATGGCTATATCCTATCATTGTTCTGCACACAGAACTTCCAGTAAGAATAATGGGAGTTTTACCTTTAAATAAACAAATGCCAGATTAAGGTCCTTAGTATTAATATAACGTTTCACCCTTGTTTGACATCTGATGAATTTTATGCATTGTCAGTGCGCACACACAAAAAATATAGACAAGTTTTTAAAATCTCAAATTCCATTCTAACTGTGGGGTGTTTTTGAAAATCTGACAAGGATTACACCAAACCAGTTTCATTATGTATTTAATTTTATTCAAACATATCCAGTAGCCCATGCAATTATTTGCTTTGCCACCTACAAAAGAGATTGCCTATGTAATAATAATATAAAATGTTCTTCAAGGTTTAAGAGGCAAGACTGGACCTTTAGGAACAACTGGAGATAAAGGAGACCCAGGACAGTCTGGTAAAAAAGGACCTACGGGATTGGTTGGTGCCAAAGGTGAAGTGGGTCCAGCTGGACCACCTGGACATAAGGGAGATAAAGGAGACCGAGGAGAACAAGGTGTACCAGGGATCTGTAAGTGTGGAAGGATAGTGCTGAAATCTGCCTTTTCTGTTGGCATCACTACGAGCTACCCAGAAGAAAGATTACCAATCGTATTCAATAAAGTCCTTTTCAATGAGGGTGAGCATTACAATCCTTCCACAGGGAAGTTTATATGTGCCATTCCAGGGATCTATTACTTCTCTTATGAAATCACCTTAGCAAATAAGCATCTTGCAATTGGGCTGGTTCATAATGGGAAATACCGAATAAAGACATTTGACGCTAACACAGGAAATCATGATGTAGCTTCTGGATCCACGGTGATCTATCTTCAGGCAGAAGATGAAGTGTGGCTTGAGATCTTCTACACTGACCAAAATGGTCTCTTTGCAGATCCCACTTGGTCAGACAGCTTGTTTTCTGGATTTCTCTTATATGTTGATACAGATTATCTCGATGCCTTATCTGATGACGATGAACTGTGATATGGGAGATGTCAAAACATCTCCAAACAAACTAGACAATCTGACACAGGATTTGATTTGGAGTGTATAGGAGACAAAACAATAATGATATGAGCTGGAATTTTATTTTTGTTTTGATGGGACCACAAATCAAATGTGGAAGAAGGTTTCTAGCCTCTATGCAGGACATTTTACCAAAGAGCAAGGATAACAAAATTAATAATATACTAATGAATGACTGTCACTCCAGACCCGGATCCTCTTAAAGATTATGTTTATAATAATATTTAAACAAATTTAAGATAATGTACAACAAATTTTATATAAAATATATTGAGTTGTGAAGTGACAGAGTGGTATTGACTTATTAAACCTCTGGATACTTTGTATTTGTTATTAAAGGAAAATTGAATGCCTGACATCACTAACAGCCTTGGTCATTCTAGGGAGGTAAATATTTAAGAGATACATGTGATAAGAAATTTAGAAAGTAGAATGAAATAATACAGTAATGGCCATTTGAGAGTGATGGACCCTGAAAAGACCATTACTTTACTTTAGTCAGATACCAACACTAACAAAAGACATATAGAGCCAGATGACTTCTGAACGGAGCCACGCAGATTTACACCAGCTGAGAATCTGGCTCAATTACATTAATTAAAAGGAGACCAGAACCAAGGGTCTGTATCCAATAAATTGATTAAAAACTGACTAATTTAGTGAACTCAAAAAGTAATTGTAAATGGGGAATCATCATCCAATGTGGGTGTTTCTAGTGCAGTCCCACAGGGATCTGTTCTTTACAAACATTATTCAATATCTTCTTCAGTGATCTGGAAGAAGATATAAAATCACCGCTGGCAAAGTGTGCAGATAACACAAAAATCAGTAGAGTAAAAATAATGATTAGGATAGTTCCACAGAGCAATTTGGATCCGATGATAAGTTGGGCTAACCTGAATAATATGCATTTTAATACAGACAAATGCAGTGCCATAAGTCTAGGGGGTTGGGGGTGGGAAAGGTCGGTCACACTTGCAGGATGGGGAACTGTCTCCTGGAAAGCAGTGACTCTGAAAAGAACTTTTGGGCCATGATGGATAATCAACTGAACATGAGCTCCCAGAGCAATGCTGTAACTAAGAGGGCTAATGTGATCTTGGGATGTATAAGCAAGGGAATATCAAATAGGCGTAGGAGGGTTATAGTGCCTCTGTATGCTGATGAAACCATTTCTTGAATACTGTGTCCAGTTCTAGTATCAACACTCAAAAAAAGGGCTCAGCATGAGACACAAGAATGATTTGAGGTTTGGAAAATCTACATTAAAGTGAAAGTTTTAAGAAAGTCAACCGTTTAGGTTATCAAAGAGAAAGCTATGAGGTGACTTGATCACAGTCTTTAACTACCTGCGTGGGGAGAAAATTTTTGGTAGTAGAGGTAATTTAGTCTAGCAGACAAAGGCATAACAAGATCCAATGGCTGAAAACTGAAGCTAGATAAATTCAGATTGAAAAAAAAAGGCACGATTTTAAACAGTGAGGGTAATTAATCATTGGGACAACTTGTTGTGGTGGGTTCTCCATCACTAGAAATCTTTAAAATAAGATCAGATGTTTCTCTAAAAGATAAACTCTAGCTCAGCTAGAAGTCCTGGGCTCGATGCAGGAATTATTGGGCAAAGTTTTATGCCCTGTGTTATGCATGAGGTCAGATTAGATGATCAAAATGGTCCTTCTAGCCTTAATATATCCTAACTCCATTGAGGTCAGTGGCAAAACTCCCATTAACTTCACTGGCAAGAGGACTTGACCCAAAGTCCTTCCAATTAGTATTGCAGCTTCTCCAAGTGCTGAAACCAAAAACGTTTTCATGGTAATTACATGGAAACATACTGTAATAAACTATGGTAATGGGTTTATTTGCAAGAGCAACACACGCGCATGTGATGCGCTGGTCAAAAATTTTTCTATTTTTTTTTTATGGAGAATTGGGTTTTCAACTAAAAATTTGTCAAGGAAAGTGCCTGATTTCTGTGAAATTTTTTTACTTTTTGGCCAAAAAGCGTTTGGTTTTTGGAAACTTGTTTTTTCAATGAGAAGTTGAAATTCAATGGAAAAATACCCATTTTCTGACCAGCTCTACTTACATGTTTAGGAACCAATAATTAAACTGAATTTATTACAAATAAATAGTCAGTTGAAGAGGTGTTGACAGTATCATAGTAGCAACTCTGTAGTTAAGGTTTAGTGATGTCTCTTTTATTTTAAGTCCCTGTGCTCAGCTACTTATAATTTTCTCAAATTCTTTTTGGGCTGAAACTTTTCACTCTTTGCCTTAGCCCAGAGATGACTTTTAAAGGAAACTCTGAAGAAAATTTAGAGTTTTCTGAAGGTGAACAAAAAACTCGGGCTTCAGTTATTTTGTAAAAAATTCATTTGGACTTTTACAACTAGATATCTCAAAATTAGCTTTGTTTTAATTCAATAATGCATGCTTTCCCTTGTTTGAAGAAAGATGGATCTGAATGTAACTTTCTTTACTGATTTCAGCACATACCAAAGTATGATGTTCTGTGTAGTCATAGATTCAGATACTTTTTTCTGTGAACGTTCTCTTAGCCTCAAACAACTCTACATGACTGTATAAGAATGGTGAGACCTTTCTAGCCATCATCCAGTCAAGGTATGTGTACCTGCTAAAGTTTAGACTTGTTATCCAGGGTGAGTTTTCCTAATGCATCCTTTTTCTGTAAGAGTAATCTTTTCAACTTTTCCTGCACAACGAGCATTTTAAGGATGATTTATATCTGACGTGTCTTTATTTGAGTTTTAGAGGATTCTTGATTAATTATGATAAATCATGGAAGTCTTGGTATGTTGCAACTAGAAAGCCATTGACTGGATACTTGAAAAGGATTAGCTGCCTTGGTCTGAGCATACCTGATATTGTCTAAAAATTTTCAAAAGGTAAGCAGAGCTGGGCCTGTATCGGAAACCTTCATAAAAAAATCAAAATAGGATAAATGAATGGGATGGGTGGTAATGAAGAGAAAGAATACTGAGGATTCAGAAGCAGAGCTTTAATTAGAACAGTTTGGTGCTACCATAAAATATTGTTGTTAAAGGAAAGATAAACAAAACCATAAGATACCTGAAAGAAGAAAGGATGATCATTGGACACTTCTTACATTTCCACATCGCTCAGCATGGATTATGGGTCACATAAGGCCATCTTCACACAAAGAAAGAGAAGAAAAGATGGAATGGTTTCAGGATCCTCATCTTGAATACTTGAGAATCATCAAGCAGCAGTTTTGGTAAGAAACCATAGTAAAAAACAAGAGTTTCCCATCTAGAACACTCTGTTCACTGGTCAGACTTGTTTCAATGTGTAGCACCTTCTTGGAATATTCTGATCCCCAAGAATGGTAGAGTCCACTGGCTGCTCCCTTTGAAGTGATTCTGTAACTCATTTTAGTGCCAGTGGGCCAGGCTTCATTAAGCTCTTTCATTTGATGGCAGGACTTCTGAATATGCAGTGCCTCCTTCTAGTAGTCAGGTGAATAAATCCATGCACAAACCCTATTACCTCTAGGATATTAACGTATTTAAAAGGAATCTAGGACCAGTTGATCATAAGAAGAAACAAATAATTTAATAGGGGAAAGGACTTGGCTAAATTAAACTGAGCCAGGAGCCGGTGAACAGAGGGGGGGGGGCCAGGATCCATTGCTGTCTCTGGCATCATTATGCCAGCCACAAGGCAACTGACCAGGCTGAGAGCCCAGAAGTAGGAGCAGGTCAAGGATACCGCTCCTACTGGCAGCTGAGCCAGAACATGGAGAAAGGCAGCGACCCCAAAGGCCTGGGCCCTCTCTGACCTCCAGCCCCTTGCCTATTCTTATATTCTTTCATCTCCACGTTGGCTTTTTTGGAAGGATGAGGGCCTCAGTCTCAGATTTTGTCCCAGACCCTCTAAATCTCCATCACTTGGAGAGAGTTCTTACAGAGACAGAAAAACACCTTCCGTCACTGTTGTCTGCATCTACACTACGGGGTTACAGCAGCATAGCTATGGCACCACACCTATGTTGATGTAGCACCCTGCAGTGTAGATATGGCTAGAAATTACAACAGGATTGGGCTTGTAACCCCATAGAAATCATAATTCAATGGGAGCAGGATTGGGTCCAAACCTATATACAACAAAAAACATTGATAACTTTGCTTAATTTCAACTTACTTTTTCCAAAATGGCCAGTGCATGAGTTTACAAGGCGATTTAACTGTTTGGAAAGTTTGTAGGCATGGTAACAAACCAATTTTGAGCTATTGAGAAAAGTTAGGCAAATATAAACTTCAAATTAGGGAAACTTTTTACTAACCAATAACTCAAAAACTTCATGACTGGTTTTCTTCAAACTCTGCAGAACTATTCTCCTTTGCCATTAAATTTGCTAATTTTCAGGCAAAACCAGTTTTCAAAGCCAAAGTTATTGGGGGGGATGGACTAAAATAGGGCTTTATAAGTTTTACATTGTTTTGTTTTTGAGTGCAGTTATGTAACAAAAAAACCCCCAAAACTGACGTTTGTAAGTTGCGCTAAAGAGATTGCACTTCAGTACTTGTATGAGGTGAATTGAAAAATACTATTACTTTTATCATTTTTACAGTACAAATGTTTGTAATAAAAATAATATTAAATGAAAGCGCAACTTACAAATGTCGGTTTTTGGTTGTTGTTTTTTGTTACACAACTGCATTCAAAACCAAAACAATGTAAAACTTTAAGGCCTACAAGCCCACTCAGTCCTATTTCTTGTTCGGCCAATCGCTCACACAAACAAGTTTGTTTACATTTATGGGAGATAATGCTGGCAACTTCTTATTTACAATGTCATCTGAAAGTGAGAACAGACATTCACATGGCACTTTTGTAGTTGGCATTGCTAGGTATTTACGTGCCAGATATGCTAAACATTTGTATGCTCCTTCACGCTTTGGCCACCATGCTTCCATGCTGATGACGCTCGTTTAAAAAAAAATGCGTTAATTAAATTTGTGACTGAACTCCTTGAGGAAGAATTGTATGTCTCATGCTCTGTGTTTTACATGCATACTGCCATATATTTCATGTTACAGCAGTCTCGGATGATGACCCAGCATGTTGTTCATTTTAAGAACACTTTCACTGCAAAATGCAAAGAAGGTACCAATGTGAGATTTCTAAAGATAGCTACAGCACTTGACCCAAGGTTTAAGAATCTGAAATGCCTTCCAAAATCTGATCGGGATAGGGTGTGGAGCATTCTTTCAGAAGTCTTAAAAGAGCAACACTCCAATGCAGAAACTACAGAACCCAAACCACCAAAAAAGGAAATCAACCTTTCTGCTGGTGGCATCTGACTCATGATGAAAA